AGAAAAACACTTATCCCGTTTTCAGGCTTAAACCAGGCAATAAATCTATAAACTATTTTTACAATTATCTCAAGTACTATAGCCATTCTTTGGTGCGCTACATGATTTTTTAATACTCTTACGTTTTCTTATAATAAAATTGTATTTTACCTTCGAATCGACGAAAAAATGGTCCAAGTGGGAGCATTCGGCAGGTGCGCGATGACGTAGTATCCTACCATTGATTGTTTTCAACTGTCAAAAGATATTAAAAATATTTCATAAAACATGGCAACGGAATTGCACCTGCCCTATTATCATGTCATCTACTTTCTGACAGCCAATGACATTTTATTTTTTGATGATGTGTATGAATACTTTGAGTACTTTGATTCTTATTGTATTGTGATACTTAAGCACCAGTAGTATTATTACTTAAATGTTAATATATTTGTTATATAAATATGTCTAGACACTTAGTCTTATTCTCCAATCTCCATTGTCAATAAAGTATATACAACAATAACAGATACTCTTATAACTTTTACAAACTTTTTTTTTTACTCCATATTGTCAAAAACATCCCTCCCCCAAAAATACTACCCTATCACCTTCTTTTAGCTTTGTTCAGGTAGATCAGTTGTGCGACGGCCCCTCTCCCCACCAGTTATTTCCTGAAGACTTAGCGACAAGAACCTCTTTACATCAAACGTTTAACACATTATCTCAGTAATTAACTAAATGTTTGTATTGTTCTATCCCCTCCTTTAACCTACATTAGCTGTAATGATAACACTACTGGTAGTCATTGACTTAATACGTTTTTATAATAACTACAGGCATCTTACATACAAATTACCACAGACTTCTGTCCACAAAAAACTTGAAAAAATACATTACAGAAATACAAGAATAATGTAACTCAAGACAATATCAATGGTCCTTACAGACTTTCAGTGCTTAAAGGTGAATATACTTATGCTACATTGTAGCCTACAAGGATGTTGAATAATTTAAGCATTCAGACATTAAATTCCTAAATTACATAATGGACTGCTCCAAATCTAAAACAGGATAGGTCCATTCTATAAATTTAATGGAATAAAGGTGAAAATATGTATCTTTTTTTATGGTGCATCATTCTCTATAAAGAGTCTGCAAACATGTCAATTAAGATAAAATTAAAATCGATTTTTTGCTTGTTTGATCTAAGGTTATTTTAAACATGTATAATATGAAAAAGGCAAAGCCTCAAAGCGAGCTCGATGTACTTTTTACGTGAAATAGTATGAAATAATCGCTCATTTTTATTTCAAATGCAGTAACGAGTGCGTGTGAAGTCACACGTACTGTACTGTGTTAAATATCGCTCCGCCCCTGTCGTGAAATGAATAACGAGTTTTGAAAACGTTGATAAAACTTTGTTTATTTTATTTCACTCTATAATTTTTCAAGCGAAATAAAGATTATTTAAAGTGAAATAAATGTAAAACTTAAAACGTTTGCGACATTAAAATAGCGTACTTGATTTGTTTGTTTTGCACGTGCTGTTTGGCGCTACATTGTGACGTCACGTAAACAATATTTTAAACGTCTGTACAGCGTTAACAACTGAATAAAAGATATTGGTGTTCGGATTCATTTTCTTAGTTAGACCATTTCCTTTCATTCTAGATAGTTTTCACAACAAAATTCGACAAAATTGTTTTTATTTATCAGATTTCAAACTTAATGGCGCCTTCGATTTTCATTTTTTATACACAGCTTCCGTTATTCTGGTTCCCTGTCCAATTATGGTTCCCATAGACGTGCGCGGGTGACCAGTCTACACATCCGTTTTCAGTCAGAATTCCTCAGTTTTTACCGTTATCTTTAAATTCGAAAGGTTGCGATGTGTCCAATTTGGTACTTTGGACGAAAGTTTTCAAAACCATCACTTAGCAGGTACTCGAGTTACCGTAAAGCTCGCTTTGCGAGCAGGCCCTTCGGGCCAGCTCGTCGAGCTCGCTATTATTCTTAATGGAGTTTATATATAATGCTTAATGGATTTGATATAATCATTCTTAATGAATTTATTTTATTTATTACTTTAAATTTTTTAATTGACTTAACATATCATTCTTAATTGATTTTATATATTATTCTTAACTGTTCTTAGTGGATTTTATGTATTATTTTTAATGGATTTTATATATTAATCTAACAAGAAATATCAATTTAAAAATTTCCCATCATGCCTGGTCATGAGAAGGACTGACCATTATTTTTCCCATAGAGAGTCAATAATTTCAAATCTTTAAATCAAGCAAAGCACATATCCTCCGTTTAATAGAGGAAGTGGAAATAATTATAACAACTGGACAATTGAGAAAACTGGTCATTTTTAACATTTAGTAAGATTACTCGCCCAGCGAAGCAGACCAGATAATTACACGGGTATTTGCTATTGCCCGTGAGTGGCTCATAATTCCACAGAATCAATTGTAAAAAAATTGTTTCTCTTTCTACAAATAAAAACAAAAGTCAATGAACCATCTTGCAGACAGGAAATGAAAGAAAAAGGCGATGTCAGATTGATTATCAATGCACAAATCACCAATCCTCTTTCTTGAACTTGACCTTCACATTGTACCTAGAACTGAAACATCTGAAATCTTCAAAGATGCTTTAGCCTGTTTGTCTAATTAAAACATCCAACAATATATTAATTAAATTAGTGTTGTTTCTTTATCTTTGTGCTTGTAATTAAAAGATGAAAGTAACAGTAAGATAAATTTCATACCAAATCTACTTGACTGAAAAGAATTTATTTTTTTCTTATTATGTCAATTATTTGCTCAAAAAACCTTAAACATTCAGAACTGCTTCAAATTTAACAATTTTTTATTGTTTTTTATTACTTTAAATTAATTCTTCTGTTTCTTGTTTTTTTTCGTTTTTTTGCTCAGGTATTTTCTTCATGATAGAAACTGAAAAACGAAAATCATAATGCATCTAATATAAAGTAATATGTACATTTGCCGATATCAAAATTATCTTGTTCAGAAATCTTTGTCATTAGAATTTTCACATTTTGTCATGATGTTTTAAATAGAGGATATTTGTTTAGTTCAGTGTAAGATCGCAATATATTTCACCGAGTGAGCACCAAAAGGTATATTTCACGAGTGGCGCAGCCAAGAGTGAAATATGAACTTTTGGTGTTCACAAGGTGAAATATATTTCAATCTTACACTAAACTAAACAAATTTTCTTTTTATTATATGCAAAGAAACGTTTTAAAAAGACATTAAACCTAATACTGAATGAAAAGCGCGCCAAATAATAATACAACGTGACGTCATTTACGACGTCACGTCATTAAGTTGGTTCCCAGTATTGTGCACGCTGGTATTTCACTGAAACAACGTAAGGGGCTTAAATTCAAAACAGTGAAATTATCAAAGTGGTAATTTCACTGTTTCAAACAGTGAAATTACCAGTTTTATATCACTGATATATTTCTATAAACCACTGAAAAGCATGTAATAAAACATTATATCTTTTATTACATCTTTTATTTGACAAAAATGTATATGAAAAAAAAAGGAAATTTTGCAACTTTTCCTTCCATCTCCCCCAAAACCAAACATAAAAATAGCTAATTATTAATAACTTCTCACTATATTCAAGAATAAGCATACAAGTTATTTTTCATCATTACAATTTATTGCTGAGCTTTATACATGCTTTAATAAGTTTCGGAGTCGGAACTCGTCAGCCCACTTGAAATTATTTCCTAAGTATCATCCACATTTACCGCTATTCCCATCTTTCTTTTGCAGCGCAACAATTACCACTGATAATATTTTCCCATAATTCTTCACAAGCTAAGCTGCAATAAGTACCGTTATTGCAATGATCAAATAAATATTACAAGAGATTCTTACTAATAAATTACCACATTTATTGTGCCCTGACTCGCATGCCTACCACATGCCATATGCTGCAGCCCCTGCCGAGTGTGCATACACCTCTGCTGTGATTATATCGCATACAAAAAAAAAGAGAAAAGAAAGAAACTAATTCATTGTTTAGAATGAATTATGCATTTTACCCGAGATTCTAGCTTAATAAAAACCTGTAGTTTTCACATTAAAATGCCACAAGAGGTGTTGCTAACAGAAATTCGAAACATGAAAAAATAAACGCTTTATTTCAGAAGGGCAGTAAAAATGCTTTCGTAAAAAGCAGTTGCATGATAAGCCTTCAATGGATAATAACTTTCTAGAAAATCATATCTGAATAAATTGTGGTATAAAAAACCCATTTTGACAGTTCAAAAAGAATAAAAATGGTTATTTTCATCATGCAACTGTTGAAACAGTATTTTCTATTATTCCTTTGTGGCTGTGTGAAAAACAAAATCCGACAACTGTTGGATCTTCCCCTATCATAAAAGTTTGCAAGAACCAATGGTATGAAACTGCTGTAATTTGTTTATAAAGGAAGAGATACAACTATATTACATAAAATACTTGATTTCTTCCATCACCTATCTTATACAAAATCATTGGGCAAATCTTATAGAAAAACAATATTCCCTACTGCATTTCTCTAACCATTGGAAAAATCAAATTCTGTTAAAACTGAATATTAACAATACAAGATTTTAGACAATTTTGACAATTGTGACAATCTTTAAAACATCAAATCTGCCTTCTAGTGCTAAGCTGTCCTATTTTCATACAGAACAACTTTTTATAACAGCAATCTTCATTCTGCTCTTGGTACAATAGAAAATTTACCAGCAAAAACCTTACAAACAAAAAAGTTGGGATTTACTCGTGAGATTATTACCTTTGCTATTTTCTTCCCTGGTAAATCTTTTGGGCATAAGAGAATCACACACATCTAGTTCAGCTTCCTTGCAGGACAGACATAGATCTTACATTACTCAACAGTTGCAAATAGAAATAATTTAAAAATAATGACAAAATTACCTGCCCTTTGCTCAAAGAGTTAATGAAAAGATGACTTACCCTTTAAGAAATTCAAAGCCATGAACACAGACAAGAATGTTTCCAAATGGATCGACCTTGAGCAAGTTTCCATATAACTGATCAAACCAAAGTCCTCTGTAAAAAAAAGTAAACTACTGTCAAGAATATTTATATAAAATGTCTTATCTTTTTATTTTTAAATAGCAGAAACCACTGGATAAGCTAAGTCTGAAACTATAGTTACCATCTAAAACTACAAACATATATTCCAGCTTCAGTAAATTTTAAGCTCATTAAGGTCGCTAATTTCCAGTATATGTTTCAAAATGAGCATTGCCAATGAAGACACACGGTTGATAGAAAGCAGGGTTTAAGGCCACAATCCAAGGATTTGAAACTGGTGATCTGACCATCAGGCCAGATTGGTCAATTTAGACTTTTCCTTTAAAACAAAATTCATTTTTCAATTTTGCATGTTTAATTTACCCAAATTTCAAGGAATTTAAAAAAAAAAATTAACTCAAACAAAAATTGGTTACACTTGCATATTAACACAAATCTCTGGTCATTTTGTAATCTTACAGAGAAGAGTACCTTTTGAATTGGACAACAATATCTAATGTCCCCGCCAGTCATATCGGAAAATGATTTTACAAAAGATATAAATAAATTCACAAATTACGCTACAATGTCATGACAATGTCACGCAGACTTCCCGCACAGAACCTCTTCACAATTGATGACACGCTTCAGTAGATAAAATCAGGCGTATATTTTTCAACAAGTGGCATAACATTATCGTTTACTATATTATGACAATTTTATTCATTAGCAAGCCTCTTACACTCAGCGTGCTATGGAATCATGGGAAAATCCCGATGGGAGGACTATTATACCCTCTGATAATACACGATTATACTCCAGAGTGTAAGTTTATGACGATTTCATTAAGTGGCTTCAGCCCCGTGGCAGGGGAGACATTTTCGTGAATTATGGAACATTCAATCTTGAAATCCTGGTAACCTGCAGGGGACACTTTAAACTACTGATACATTATTGTATGCTATCAGGCTGGTTCCCAATATATATAAAAACTTTGCATGTTGTTGTGTAAAGTGGTTATAAATGGAATGAGCTTTTCTCAACATTCAGTTGTTAATATTTTCATATAAACGCCAGCCCTCGGGATACAGACTCATATAGTCAACAGGTTAATTACCAGTACTCCATGTTTATTACTTCAAAATTAAGTTGTATCCCTGGTATATCAAGGACAACATTTTAATATATAACAATATCATGAGAGAAAAAATAATGCTATAAACTTGTACTGCTGGCGGGTGGGTTTGGGGGGTCAAGGATAACAAATGTCTTGCGCACAACACAATAGTATAGCCCAGCATTAAAACTAGGTTAATGCATGTTTGCTCCATTCCATTTTACAGACAAGCATCATTTTTACATTGGTGAGTCAAATAGGGATTGTGTAAACTCATTGAGAACATATTTTTACATATTCATATAATTATTATATTTATATTTCAAGCTGTTTAAAATAAATAGAGGATACTGAATGAGTGTAAGTTTAATACTGAATTTATTGGACAAGTTGAATAAAATTATATTATACAAGCATCTGGCGAGCGTAATATTATTTTATTCAACAAGTTCAATAAATTTAGTAATAAACTTAAACAAATTTAATATTCTATTAATCACCGTTTTAAGTGAAAAAAAAAACAACAAAACTCATATTTCATTGATGCGCCTATAGTACAATGCTTAACATTAAGCGTGCTTTGTTTATATAAGGCAAATGACTTCATGTCAAAATTTATGCACCGCTGTGCAATACCATTTTTAAGCAGTGGCACAAGTGGCTCGGGTATGTGATAAATAAATAAAATGGATTGAGATAAATTTTGATTTTACATAAGTTACAACAGGTATAACATTGTGAAGATCACAGAGTTGTTCGCAAAAATCACAGAGTAAGTCTTTAACATATCTTTCATGTTATGTTGGTGACAAATCATATACAGTCTTGTGGTATTCAAATTTGATAAGGAATCCATTTCTAACTCTCTAATTAACCCAAAGGATAATGTAATGAAACCAAAGGATAATGTAAATAACCCCAAGAGATAAATGACATTATTATTTTTGTGTATTATATATCTTGATTATATAATTTGCACTACTATTTCACACTAAAGTATGCATCCATAATCAAATATTGGCTGAATATAATGTAAATATTATGCATTATAGTACAGTTTTCACATATCTGAAAGCTTTGATACAGATAAAAATTGGCACAATTTTTATGTAATGAAAAACCACATTTTTTATCACTTGTGAACAGATTTTATTGGACTTTTATTGACCTTAAAATTTACTATTCAATACACTGGCGTTTTTAAAATGATATAATATTACTGTCATTATTTCTTTATAGTCAATTCTCATGATCCTGTTACTTACATTAATTTTGCAATAACTCAGAAAGGTTGAGATATTTTTATGTTTAGACAGGTCAAATATTCTTTACAATCAAATATCATTTACAAAAGTCAAGACAGTCCTAGGAATATCTAAAGTAAAAATAAAAGTGCATCAGAGTAAATTTTGTTGTAATTAACAAACATAGGTCAGATATTCTCTTTTAAATTATGATGTGTCAAAAGGCTTTATAAGTAATAATATATTGGTTTATAGGGGGGTATGACAGAAGAGCGCTGGAATGCAATTAGAATGGCGCTAGATTTATTGGTAAACATACATATGTTTTAATATCATATACCTAATACCAACAACACAAAGATACAATCATGTATATAAAGTTAATATATGTGAAAATCATGAAACACATAGTGTTTACCTATATATAGTCTTATCAACAGGTGGTCTCTCAACACAGGATTATTGCAATTATAATTTTTTCAGTATGAAAATAAGACAGTGGACATAAGTAACCGCTGGACCTATATATAGTCTTCACAATGAGTTGGTCTAATACTAATAGTACAAGTTTGACTGTAATGATACAATGTTACAGTATCTACCAAATTCTCTGCTTCCAACACCCACCCACCTCAAATTTTAAGATATCTATTTCTAGGTACCATTTACCTACCCATATAAATGTCAAAATGCTAGATTAAATGAACTCAAAATTGATGAGAAAACATTAATGTGATGAAAGTGAAATTTCATGTACAAATCAAAGTCAATCTCCCCTCAAACCTTGATTAATGATCTAGAAATTCTGCCCGAAATTTTTTTATATGCTTACTTTACAATACATTAGCTAAGCTTTTTATATCATTACCATAGCCATGTTTATAGTAAACATCAACCTTTATAATGGAATTTAGAGGATTAAGAAATATAGATGTTGAGTTTATAGAGGTATTGAATAAGATGAAAAAAAGAGAACTTTGGATAGTCAATATCTTTATAACAACTAGTTTGGGTATAAAACACAGAAATCTTTACTACGCTTATTATCATAAATGAACTTGTTAATCTTTCAATCTGGACAAAACCATTTGAGCTGCGTCACGACAAAACCAACGTAATGCATTTGTGACCAGCATGGATGATACCACACCAGCCTGCGCATCCGCGCAGTCTGATCAGGATCCATGCTGTTCAATTACAAACCCTATAACAAGTAGAGAAACTAATAGTGAACAGCATGGATCCTGATCAGACTGCGCGAATGCGCAGGCTGGTCTGAATCCATGCTGGTCGCAAAGGCACTATGTTGGTTTTGTTATGAGGAGGCTCATTTATCATTTTTAGGAGTATAGCAAACAGTGCCGACTGATAAGACAGCACTGATATGTTGGCTAAACTTGGTCTGCACTGGTCACATGAGCAGAATCTGTTGCTGCCTTCAGGCTTAGAGTTATGACCAGCAAGATTTTGGACTTTTGCCGTTTTTGAAGTCTTGACCAAAGTGCATCTCTATCTATTGAATCAGGCATTATAGACGAATTTGTTTTAGAAACATACTTAATATGAAAAATTGGTTCTAGAATTTATAGATTTGTTTTAATAAGACAGGATTCCCTGTACAACTTTACATTCCAGCAAAATGAATTTAAGCTGTTTTTTTCATGGAGTCACATGCAGGAAAATGTGAATAAAGAGTACAAATTATTGCTGTTTTTTCCATTGTGAAATATCAGTTTTATAAGGAGATCGCATGTCTGCAGAATATTAGGACATGTTTCTACAGAAATAGCTGGTATTAAACTTTATTACAACTAATGCTGAAAATCTCTCAGAGTAATTCCAATTTAATTTTCTGATAATTTTTGCAATTTTTTCAACTAAAAACAAGAGCACAACATCCAGTGTTAATGCTCATCTGTAAAAAATTCTAAGTTAAAAAGGGGTGTTACTAAAAAAATATTGTTTTCAGAAGTATCCCTCTTGTCTAACAACTGCACCTTGTCACAATAAGCATGTATTCCAAGTTTCATGTTGATACCTTTAAAATATTTGAATAATGGGCTACATTAAAGTTTTTGCAAAACAACAAGGATGACAATAAAGATGAAGACAACAAAAACGATAACAATGATGATGACACAGCGATCACAATAGCTTTACTTTTTCTTTGAAACAGACAAGCTAAAAATACTGAAAGAAAATAATAAAACACTGTTCACAAAGCATTGTATTCTACTTGTATAACCAAGTATATTTTGCTATTTTTTTCCAGTTCATAAAAGGGACATAATTTAGAATTGATTCTTAAAAATTATCAGCCCTTGGTCATAAATGTTTGCCATTAATTTTCATAAGTAAAAAGCATTTTTGTCATTTTTTGTTACTTTTAGAATACATGAAGAGTCTTGCAACATTTGAATAAGGCTATCATTCCTCTGTAAATTATCTCCAGCAAGAGGCACTAAAAAACTTTCCTGTCGAAAAATGAAATTAAGCAAAAACTTTATAAAAGAATCTAAAATTAGCATCAATAATTCATGAAATGTGCAGGAAAATCAACATAGTTTGATCGCATTAATGTCAACTACTTTTCCAAGAATTTGTTTTTGCTGGAGACAGAATGTGCATAAATATTAAAGATGTGACATTGTCAACAAATTCTGCTCTATCTATAGCCGTTCGGGGCCTTTCATTTCAATTTATTATAGCCCATATTTTGCTGCTTTTTCAGGTTTCCGTTAAAACAAGAGGCAATTAAGAGCAATCTTCTTCCTTTATAAAGATAACAATACCTTTGATGGGACTCGAACCATAAACATCTTGATTCCAAAGCACATGTCCACCGACTGGAGAACTCTTCACATCGAAATAAAGGACAGAGAGAGACCTACCTGATCGGGAATGTTGGGTCATACTCAAACTCCAGTAAGCTTTCCGGATATCCGATGTGTACAAGCCGTTCCTTAATCAGCTGAAATCCTAAATTCTCGTAATCAGGTGATTTATACACTGAAAAATAACACAGGATAATAGATTACAACTTCTGAATATCTGAATCAGTAAATTTTCAGAAATTATTTTTTCAAGTTAGGGTGCTTTAGTAGTAGAGATACACAAAAATATATAAACAGTAAAGATGATCTTGGCTAACCTGGGGTGGTACAAACTTAAAGCAATACCAGGGGATCAAAACCAACTCACCAGCTGGAGCTAAGAGATTCATAGACTCCAGTAATTTGAACACATTTAGTCTCATATCAGGATCATGCAGGGATAAACGGTCTCTGCAATTCGGATGCCTCAACCACTAAAGGCAAGTGGGAAACATCATATATATAAGTAATTCATACAATCATGTACCTTAAGACTTCTTCCTATTTCAATCTTGCTTTCTAGAATGACCCATATTGTGTGGCTTTCTACCCTTAAACTTTCATGTTATGACTTTCACCTTATGACTATGGCCTTGGCCTTACAACATTACCCAATTATTCTATACAATGTATCATGACCTAAACCTAGTTTGAAACTCAAAATAGCTGGAACTAACTCTTGATTTTTCTACTTCAATATGGCAAATTGTAATTATTTCTGAAGTAAAAATTGTATATAAGGAAAACAGAAATGTATATACTCCTGGTTTAAACCCCAGGGTCTATTCCAGGATATAGCCACTGAAGGTTGACCGTTCTACAAAGGTGCTGGCTCTTACTTGAGGTCAAAATTTTCCACCATTAAAGCTAAACTGTAACCATATAACCTATACAGTGTCTGTCTATATTAAAAATCTTAAATGGGAAAAAAATAAGTTGGCTTCATTAAGACAATTAGATACCCTGTAGGAGAAAACTAATGCAAAAGAAAAGGTATCTATGATTCCAAGGAATTAAACTAAATTAACCATATCAGAGCATTTTCTATGTCACATCAGAAGCACATATATAGGAGAAAGATTAACCTCTAGGAGAATTGATTTAAATTTACTTTTTTTTATCAAGCATTGCCTGATTTTTTTTCTAAGAAATTGACAAGACTAGAAATGTGTCATCATGCCACGGATGCCCCCGCATGCAGCCAAAATTTCAGATGGTGCATTAATTATTTTTTTCATTTTAAGTTCAAAGCCCTTAAAACTTTTCAATGTTAACACAAACCATTTTCATACAATGTTCAAGACACTGAAATTATTCAGTCTTAACCTTTTAAAACAAGAACCGGTTGAACCGGGTGATGCTCCCCGAGAAGGTTCTGGACACAGGAAAGTATAAAAAAAATGAACAAAGGGCAAAAACTCCAAAATTAGGCAAAGCGGAGTTATGTTTTTTTGCACTGCACTTCTATTCAATGAGATCTATCTATCTACAAGAAAAGCATTGATGCAAAGCATCAAAGGGCGACGCCAAAAGAATTTGATCCAGATTTGCACCTAAATACTTAACAAAAGATGTGTACTTTATAGCAGTACCATTACATGTGACCTTGAGGCTAGGGCCAGTTTAAGTTGAAACTTAAACCAAAAAAGAATAGACTCTGTCTTGCCAAGATGCAAAAAACATGAAAATGCAACAAACAAACCACTTTGTGGTAGATTGTATTTTCATGTTTTCATCTGGCACCCGGTTACTTTTTGTACTATGTTTGTTTTCATGTGGCACAAATTACTCACTATAAATTTAGTGCACAAATTTATTCAAGGGCAAGTAACAATCTACTGTATCTCTTTAAATGCAGAAAAATTATAAGTCTCAACATATCAATATACTACAGTCTAAGATATACATGTATGCACATAACATTAATAATTCCCAGTTTATATTAAATAAATATGAAATCCTAACATTAACATGCTTTTGATGACCTTACAACTGGTGAATTATATACAACAAAAATAGTATTATAAGTAATACCTAAGATAGACAGAAAACAACAAATAATTTAGTAAACATGAGTAACTTTCCCTTAAAATAGAGAAAACCTGAAACCCAAAAGAACACCCTAAACAGCAAAATTATGAAATGCTGCATGCTCAGTTTTATTAAGCCATGCAAATTAATGGTAAAGTATTCATAAAAAATAGATGGCCATGTGACAGCAGTAATTGCAGAAAATCGGATAGCTTTCAACATCCGGATACTGGTACACTTTGTAAAAACAACCATTTTGCGCAACAGATAAATGTAATAAGGATAAAATCAATAGGATAATCGTTTACAACAGTTCCATTACCTATCCTTATACTCAATTGCAGGTGAACTTTCTTCTTGTAGGAAAATTTGAAAATGTATAAATGAATGAATGAACTGATACGGCCTCAATCTAGACCACAACGATATTCGAAATCCGGGTTTTAGTATTGCCAATAAAACTAAGGGACAAGCTGTTAAACTTAACCTGCAATTTCGTGAAAATAATATCACAATGCACATGCTTTTTACATAAAGTTATTAAATACAAATATAACAACACATTTGTTTACTTGATTTTTACGAATCAAAATAAAACTAATTAACACAACATGAAATTAACTGCTAATAATAACAGCTCCTTCCATAGGCAAAAATAAAAAGCATTCCATAATAGACGACGCCGCTCACCGGCGTCGCCAATAAAGTTTCCTGATGATATCAGAGTTATGTCCCGGGTAAAAGTCAAAGTGTAAAAATGAACAAAGGGCAATAACTCCAAAATTAGACCAGGCTTTGTTTAGGTTCTTTAAGCATTGCAGTTCTATCCAATTATATCTAGCTACCTACAAAGTTTCATGTTGATATCTCTAATAGTTTTAAAGTAATGTCCAGGACAAAAGTCAAAAAGTAAAAATAAACAAAGGGCAATTTCTTCAAAATAAGGCAAGGCAGAGTAATGATTCTTAAGCACTGCACTTCCACCCAATGAGACCTATCTATCTACAAAGTTTCATGTTGATATCTCTTATAATTTTAGAGTAATGTCCCAGACAAAGTTCAAAGTGTCAAAATGAACAAAGGGCAATAACTCCAAAAGTAGGCAAGACAGTGTAACAGTTCTTGTGCACTGCAAACTTACTCAATGAGATCTATCTACCTACAAAGTTTCATGTTGATATCTCTTATACATTAAGAGTTATGTCCCAGACAAAGTTCAAAGTGTAAAAATAAACAAAGGGGATTATTAAAAAATTAGGCAAGGCAGAGTTAAGGTTCTTGTGCACTGCACACCTACTCAATGAGATCTATCTACCTACAAAGTTTCATGTTGATACTCCTATACTTTTAGAGTTATGCCCAGGACAAATTTCAAAGTGTAAAATAAACAAAGGGGGATAATTCAAAAAATAGGCAAGGCAGAGTTACGGTTCTTGTGCACTGCACACCTACTCAATGAGATCTATCTACCTACAAAGTTTCATGTTGATACCTCTTATACTTTTAGAGTTATGTCCCGGACAAAGTTCAAAGTGTAAAATAAACAAAGGGGAATAATTCAAAAATTAGGCAAGGCAGAGTTACGGTTCTTGTGCACTGCACACCTACTCAATGAGATCTATCTAACTACAAAGTTTCATGTTGATACCTCTTATAGTTTTAGAGTTATGTCCCGGACAAAGTTCAAAGTGTAAAATAAACAAAGGTGATAATTCAGAATTTAGGCAAGGCAGAGTTCCGGTTTTTGTGCACTGCACACCTACTCAATGAGATCTATCTACCTACAAAGTTGCATGTTGATACCTCTTATACTTTTAGAGTTATGTCCCGGACAAATTTCAAAGTGTAAAATAAACAAAGGGGGGGTAATTCAAAAATTAGGCAAGGCAGAGTTACGGTTCTTGTGCACTGCACACCTACTCAATGAGATCTATCTACCTACAAAGTTTCATGTTGATACCTCTTATACTTTTAGAGTTATGTCCCGGACAAATTTCAAAGTGTAAAATAAACAAAGGGGGGTAATTCAAAAATTAGGCAAGGCAGAGTTACGGTTCTTGTGCACTGCACACCTACTCAATGAGATCTATCTACCTACAAAGTTTCATGTTGATACCTCTTATACTTTTAGAGTTATGTCCCGGACAAAGTTCAAAGTGTAAAATAAACAAAGGGGGATAATTCAAAAATTAGGCAAGGCAGAGTTACGGTTCTTGTGCACTGCACACCTACTCAATGAGATCTATCTAACTACAAAGTTTCATGTTGATACCTCTTGTTGTTTCAAAGTTATGTCCCGGACAAGAAAAGGGGACGGACGGACGGACAAGGCGGCGACTATATGCTTCCCCGAAATTTTTTCGGGGAGCAAAAATAGCATATTGCATATTTGTAGCCAAAATAATGGCTAAAAGTATGAGTGCTGAAACTGAAAGTTCAAAATTTTTCCAACATTCAGGAAAGATAAGTTTGTCTAAAATCATTGAACCACAACCAAATTCAAACTTAAACTGCTTATTCCTAAGATGTATCTATATTATTTTCAAAGTGAAAGGGACATAACTCTGCAAAAAAAAAAAATAATCAAACCATGACCAAATTCCAACTTGACCTGCCCATTCCTTTGACATATCCATATGTCAAATTTAAGTTGAATATGTAACACTGTTGGGTAGATAATGAACAGAAACTGTAAATTTCATACTATTTTCAAAGTGAAAGGGGCATAACTCTGCCAAAAATCATTGAACCATGACCAAATTCGAACTTGGCCTGGGCATTCCAAAAACATATCCATATGTCAAATTTGAGTTGAATGTGTTGTACTGTTGGGGAGATAATAAACGGAAACTGAAAATTTCATATTACTTTCAAAGTGAAAGGGGCATAACTCTGCCAAAAATCATTGAACCATGACCAAATTTGAACTTGACCTGCGCATTCTTTTGACGCATCCATATGTCAAGTTTGAGTTGAATGTGTTGTACCGTTGGGGAGATAATGAACGGAAACTGAAAATTTCATATTATTTTCAAAGTAAAAGGGGCATAACTCTGCCAAAAATCATCGAACCATGACCAAATTCGAACTTGACCTGTATTTTCT